CTAAAAAAACAACTAACTATTTTTTAATGTTTAAATAATCTATGTGAGAAAATAAACTAATATTAAAGGAAATTAAATAATCTACAAGTTATAACAGTAGTTTTTATACAATTATAGTTGAGATGTCGTTCAATGCTTTTCACACGGTTTTAAATTAAATCGATAAAACATGCAAATGTATGCAAACTAGTATTATTCAGAACACAAAGGAGACTTTAGACAGAAATAAAAAAATATTCATTTATGCTTTTTTTCTTCCTTCCACCCTCGTCATCCAAGCCTTTAGTCTATACCCGCACCCATCGACGTGTTCTTCTAAGTGGCCATTTCGACAACCTTTCAAAATGTGCCCACATATTTCTTCCCCTATTACATGTAAAATACTATAAGTGAAGGTCATGTAACAAAATTGATTTTCACCCTCGCTTACCAAAAATCCCGTCATAGCCACAGGGATACTAAACAACCATTATCGGTGAAACATTAATTTCGTGCTATTTTTTTTTTTTACATTCATAGAGATGAAAACTGGACCTTTTTGGTTTGATTTTTATTACAACAAAAAAAGGCGTGGAACATTTTTTGAACTAACGACATAGGACCTCTAACGCTTAATTATTCCCTTTTCTCTAAACTATCTTTGTAATTAGTGACATCCTTGTAACCCAGCCGTTTTTTCCTGTTATATCAGATATTTGTATGGTCTTTCATTAATTTTGTTGAACTTAAAAAATATAATTTACAAAAAGCTAAAAACAATTAAACTATTAAATAAATCCATATGTTTAAAGAAATTATTAAATTATTAATGCCAACAATGACAAAAAAATTAAAATAAAATGTTAGATTCACAGTAATTTATTATTTCCAATGAAAAGTATGTTTTCACAAATGGCGTGTGGGTATTTTCTTTATATAAAATATACCCAGAACAAAAACAACGAAGGACGGCAATTTGTTTTGGTTTTTAGCATCACGATAAATAATTGTTAGTATACTTTGTTTCATTTAATTTAAACACGTATCTTGGTAGAGACTTTAGGGTAAAAGGAAACAACAATAGTACAAAGAATTATACAATGAACGTGAAACAAAATTTTAAAAAAAAAAACCCCATGCAAATGTCAAAACTCTGGTATAAAACTTTATGTACTTGCTCATTTAGTTAGGTCAGCTATAAATTAATCGAAAGTTTACAAATTTGTAAATTAAGCTGTAATTTTTTTTAATAAATAAGGTACATTTTATGTTTTTAACGTATCTAAACTAAACTACAAAGTTTGTACAAATTATTCCAAAAGTATATTTTTATAAAAATGTTATCATCAGTTTGCAGCTGTTTTCATATTCTGTAAATATAATCATACAGATTAAAAACTAATAATTATGTAACATGACATTGATTTTTTTGTATACATGAGTATATTATGCGTATTATAATAATATTATATTATTACCAAGTATTTAATTAAATATATAAAGTATTTGTAAGTAATTTTATATTTACATTCATTTACAGGTTTTTACCTATTACTTAGGTAGGTACTTCAGATATTAGATTAAATATTATTTCACTATCCATAATACAATAATATTGTGTTCAAATAAAGAAAATAATGGAAATAATATATGAAAAACATTTCATACAAATGAAACAAACTATTTTCAGATAAAATGCAAAATGTAATAACTGAAAATCAAAATAATAACTTAAGATATTATTTGACATACCACTATTACATGGCAAATAGATACAAACGATGACCATTATGCTGGTGACCTAGTTAAACACACGTTACATCCCTAAACTAGCAAGCAATTAAATAGATCTATACTCGCACTCTAAGAGTGGAAACTTTGGCGCAAGAATCGCATAGCCACTTAGCCCCTCATTCTCCCTTGGGGTCTAAGCGAGTATTTTGAATGGCCGCCTAAGGGTTTAAAATAATTATGATAATTAATTTAACTACAATCATCAGTAAGTTAAGTAACATACTAGGGAATAACTAATGAAAATTATATTATTTGTTTAACAGTTAAAAGAAAAAATAAACTAATAATAGCTAGATGTCTGTATTAGATATACCAATCCAAACAAGATTTGTTATAAAATGTTAACTGTTCAAAAATTTAAAAAAAATATATTCATACAAAAATAACATATTACTAGTTATAGTGGTATATTATCTAATATACTTTGTGTAAATCAGGCATATAGGTACGTCACACGAACTTATTTAAACAACTGGTCTGTACATAGGTAGGAGTTAATTTGCCATTAATTTAAATAAGTTAGTAACGTAATAATGCTCTAATATATAACATAATCAGTGGTTTTAGAAATGTGTAGAAGAAAAGAGATAAGTTAATTTAAATAGAAACATACATTTATATTAAGTTGACATTTTTATGATCTAACACCAAACGAAGTTTTAGATAGAACGTACAACAAAAATATGAGGTACCTCAATTATTAGATCAGTTGCCCTGATTATTTCATAATAATTTCAAACATTTCAAATATTCAAAATGTAATTAAATAATTATAAACATCAAATCTATAAAACTCTCTAGATATCTACCTAAGAATTTAATAGATATGATAGTACAAAATAAGATAGTATAAACTATCAGATGACAGAAAAAAATTAGTTTTAAAAAAAAAAAATTAGTAGTTACCAACCCAAAGCTATAACAAATATAGAAAATTGGCCAAAAATGACATATGACCAACATAATGTATTCAATTGACACTCAATAAAAATGTTAACTAAATTCATATTTTTTACGACATTCTAGGTAACTAAACATTTTCCAAAAAAAACAACTTCAACGTATAGGTACCAATGATAACTATCATCTTTTAATTAGAATTTTAAGTAAAAATATTTATTTAAAATAAAAATGAAAATATTATTTGAATAAAATATTTAAATATATGTTAATAATTTCAAAATAATTGAAAATATGGTACCTACAATTTATTGAATATTTCAAGATCTTATGAATCTAAAATAAAGATTAAAATGTAAGTAGGTACACTTACAGAACTGTACATTTCAATATTCTTTGATGTAGTATATTATACAAGCAAATATTTTCAATATTACAGAATGGTGATCTATCAATTCAATATAAGTGATCTACCATAAAATGTCAATACATACAATTGATTGAATTTACTTTTTAGCTGGTAATTAAAGGTTTATAAAATAAATCAAATATTCGACAAAAATGCATTAAAAAATACACTATTTCTCATCACTGACCGCGTAACTTATATTAAACACTATTTCATAGATAACATTATTATCAGCATTCAACATACCTATATACTGCTGTGCATGGTCATAATATATTATATAATTATATTATCATCATTCTGCGTAAATATCGTATATACTATATATGTATTATCTATAGTAAATGACTAATAATTCAAGAATTAAAGCGCACTTTATAGAGTCTACGAGGTATTACTAAAAAATAAACGTGTAGGTAACCGTTACGAAATATTTTTGAAATCTGATAGATCACTAACTACACTTAAAATTTAAGCGTAAATCACTTTGTATACGAATTTCATAAATGTAATGCATATTAAACTAAACTATTAAAATCTCGACAATTTTATACTTTCTACAGTATAATATATATTATATACACTCAAAAATAAATAAAGACAAAATCTAAGAAAAGTTAAAACATATTATGTTTAGAAAATAAAATAAACAATGAAAACTGTAAAAATTAATTGTTATACTGCATAAAAACAACTTATTTGATATTAATACAAAAACAAAATACTATACAAGTTTACAATCGATGATATAAAATATTAAAATAAATAATGAATCATTCAAATGTTAAGAGTATCTATGTGCAATGTGTGTACAGCACAGTCAATCGTATAGGACTCAAAATAATCTGAACAGATGTTCTTTGAAGAACAATTTGTTCATTATCAACGTCGAATAATAATCGACTGCAGTATGTACCCAGTAATTCACTCATTTATCAAAGAACTAAAGTATTAAAATTATCTATAAAGATAGTTTCAATAAAAAGAGTAATTCTATAATAATAGAAAACAATATAAAGTACCTACAGTATTATATACATTATTTCTAGATTTGCAACGCATTCATTAAATACTAACTGTTTTATTACATAAAATAAAATGAATTATTTTATGCGGGTACCTACTTAAATGAAAATATAAAAAAAATTAATAACAATCTAAGTAATATATTAATATTTACTTTACATAAATCTAAAAATAAGCTGAGAAAAGCACTATTTAATTTCATATATTATTTTATTTACAATTGAATGTGTTAACAGGGAAAACGAGATGATTCGTGTTTTACGATTTGACCTTTTTGATAATATAATAAACTACTAATTTTGGTAGGTAGGTACAATACAATATTATGTCCTCTGGTTAAAAATTCGAATGATTCATCATTTCATTTTCATCAATCACTGGTTAAAACTTACAATACCCCCCGGTAAAAATATAGGATTGCGTGCGATTCATCCATTGCCCATTGAGTCTATACTCTATATATTCGAACCCCTGCCGTATACGTAGATCACCCCTTCTGAAATTACATCTGGCCAAAAGGGCAACATTTCCCTCGTGCGGGGTCCGATGAATTAACCGTTAATTGAACCCTAACCGAGAGAGAGAAAAGGAAAAAAAATGAAAATGAAACTTACTTCGAACAGCCGATATTTTTGGTCGCACGTTCTCTTGCCATCCTGCGCTCGCGGGTACCCACCACTGAGCAACGACCAGCAGTAGGCCGGCGACGAATAATGCTCCTTTCTGCATTGTATAATCCGCGGAAACGTTTCACATCGAACTAGATTTTTTTTTGGTTATTGAACGCGTAAAAAAAAAACTCGTGGACGAATATTTTGCGCGGCGACCAGTGCCTGTTACCAGCACTTGGGTACAATGTTGTCAACAGCGGTTGTGTACGACGGCGACCACGACGACGGCGATCGGCGTGACGGTATATTTTGGTCGAGAGAGCGCGCGTACACGTTACCAAACGGTTGCGGCGTTACTGTCGTCTGCGGTTCGACTTAGCACCACTGACGCAATGCGAACCCGAGACAACGACCCGACCGGCGCATGGTCATCTGACGGCGGCAGCGGCGGCGCTCCACACTTTTGTCAACCACATGGACCTGAAAAGCAAAATGTATTACATTAACGTCATATATTGTGCCGCGATGAATTATTCACTTATATACAGCTACCGCTGCACAGTACAATTATACATCGATGTAGGTAAATTCGAACTATTCACTATAACTCGATCGCTGTATAAGATGATTAAATAATTAAACGCAAGTCGTCAAATCCACGCGATTCTGGTGACCTATAACCGAGTGTAATCCTCGATTTGACATCAAGCACCGAGTTCGTAGTATTGAATAAGCGTCACCGAACACTTACTCCGACCACGTCTTCTGTTTTATTTTGTTTATTTTTACAATACACTTGCTTATTGTACATTTAAAACACGGATTGTAAATATTTTCCATTCTCAACAGGAATAAAGGATTTAACACGGTATACTACACTTTTTTAAACGAGTTGGCGGTTTAAAATAATAGAATATTCTAGGACCTTAGGATGGGCAGTAAACAAATAATTCAGCATTTAATAAACATCCAATTAAAACATGAATCGGAGGATATTAGCCTAACCAATTTAACAAAACATAATTAATAATTGAAATTTCTATCCATTTAATAAAATTAAAATCAATTATATCGTGGTAAGAATTTTTTTTTAATAAAATAATTTTGTTTTCACGTTAACAGATAACTTTTAAGCATTTAACTATGAAGAAAATATGTATGATTCGCACATTGACAAGGAAATTGGTTCAACTGATTGTGCACAAAAAATTAATATTTATAATAAAGAAATTAAGAATGTCAGCTTTATATTATTCTGTGTTCACTTTTTTGACATTTACAGTAAAAAAGTTACAAGAATTTTATGAATATACACAGTTAAATTAAACAGTCTGCACAAAAGTAAGTTTTTATCCGTTTCAATCAATTATTATATCCTGTCAGTTTTACTAAAAATATTTTGTTTAATTAAACAATATCATTTCTTAAACATAGAATACATCTAGTACTTTATTTCTCCATCCTATGCCCGCAACAAAGTTTTGATTAAATTTTAGAAGTTTATTATATGATTATTGACTTATACTTCATAGATATTATTATAAACGACAATATTGAATAAAAACAAAACAAACAATTGAAGAAACATCTAAAAATAAATTGATTAATTATTATCTGATATGAAAATAAAACTGGCATGAAAGACTTCTATTTCCAAATATCCAATTGTATCCCATGATCTTTGACCCAAAAAGAAAATTTTGACAAAAGTTCAAAGAACATCAATGACTCATAATAAAAAAACTCATAATTCCAATCTTACGAGTTAATTCTTAAATGTAGAAGTAAAACGCCGGTTACAAAAAATAAAAAAATTGAAAGAAAGACAAACCTTTCCTATGTTTCTATTATTACGCGAATCGTGGGACAGTGTCTTGATAATGTAAGTCTCTTTATACATTTTTAGATTGTTTTTCGAAAAAAAAATTCGAGGAAGTAAAAAGTTTCGGAACTTAAAAATAATTTCACTATAAATTACGAATTTGACACGAAAGATAAGTTGAGAAAAAAATTTTTAAAATTTCACAATTTACCTTATAGTATAGGTTTGAAGACTAAGAACGAAAAAAATAACTGACAACAGTGTAAAAATTAAATTTACGGCAAAACGTGTTTTACTTATTGTACTATTATTTGGTATAATTCAATAAATAATTTAATCTTAATTCTATTCAGTCTTTACATTTTAATCAACAATTAATTAAAATTTAATATAGACACGATATGACTTAAGAAATCTTATCTTGGTATCTGGTCTTTATAAAACTTTGAAAACTTTTTAATATTTCTATCATTATTTTAAACAAATCTCTGATATTTGTACTTAAAATTTAACTTAAGAGTTATTATTACAAAGTATAACAAAAGACATTATTTTAACTATAATTTTCAAAACAATTTGAATTACAAAAAATGGCTATACTTTTGATTTGATAAAATATGTAATTTTACTTTAATGACAACCATTAAATAATTAACTACAAACAGCAAACTTTTAAAATTTAGTTTTTTTTAATTTTCCCCGTATAGTTTTTAATGCGTAAATAATTTTTTCCTGGTTATATTATGCATACATTAACCCCATATTTAATTCTCATTTTTAAATAAATATCGACAAATAATGCATAATTATTAATTCATTAACATTTTAGTTTTTTTAAATATCTTTAGATGTAGCATTCTGAATAACACAATTTCTATTTAAAATACAATAGTTGATGGTATTTTATCAATTAAAAAGGAGAAATGTTTATATTATTAAACAGATTACCTACTTCATAATTTAAAATGTTCAGATAAAAAAGTCAACTAATAAACTCTAAAAAATCTAATAATCTTTATACAGCAGGGTCTGATCGTCTGGAGTAAAACCTCATTTAAAAATTAATATATAGAAGCTAGTCGTCTACAATCTGAAGTACGAACACCTTAATTACATTGCATATAATAATTAAAATTTAGAATGTAATAAAAACACTCTCCGTGTTTTGTAAAAAAAAAATATGAAATATACCTAGTAACTGACATTTTAAAATATAACTTTCATTAAAAAAATTATCATTTATCACTTATTTAGGTAGATATTGCACTTGAAAAAACTTGATCTGTCCGTTATAAATAGAGTTTATTTCACATGATGTTGTAAACGATTTGAAAACACATGAATGTATCATTATTAATTTACTAATATTAATTCATTATTAAATAACAATAGCTAGGCACATTGCAATTAGCTGATATAGCGATTTATTTGTTGCTATAGATTATATATTTTACAAACAAACACATTTAGGAGTATGATCAAAATGTTTAAAAAAAAGTTATTATAATAATATGGTCTGAGGATACTAATAGTGTTATCCTCCATTAACCACATAAAATTAAGGAAATCATATTAATAAGTATAAAGTAAAATAATAACAATCACCTAGTGGCCTCTTAAATTTTAAAACAAACGTTGATTGTTCTTTATGTTTATACTATAAATCAAATTAGTTTTTCAATACATTTTAATATTTTATACAACTTATAGGTACTATAGAAAAGGTATATTTTTGTGTTTCAATTAACGAAAAATATTTTATGATTTATACACATAATTTAACAATATTTGCATCAAAAATATAGTTAATCAATAGCATAAAGTTAATAGACATTGTCACAAAAGTTATAAGTTAAATTTAAAAAAAAAAGAATCAGTGCAATAATCATTCAATTACAACATTGTCTTTGTTCTAGTTGTAGAGTCAATGTTATTTTTGTTATAAAAAAATATGTTATATTTTATGTCGAAAAAAAATCGCATCATTGCTACTGTAACTTATTTACCACCAAAAAAAACCACCACTAGATAACGACAAAATACCATAGTTAATGTTGTCATCTATGAATGAAACAGGTGTCACTTTTTAAAAATTATCATTTATGATTCGTATGAAATTAATGTGTGTAACCTAACCTAATCTAACCTAACCACTTTGAAATAGAAGTTAATATATCAATGAACATTTTACATTTTGTAGAAAAATTATTTTACACAAGTTTTTAAAATATGATTAAATTATTAAATCATCAACCACCCAAACACGTCAGTTCTTGAAAAAACGATTTTAGAAAAAAATATACAGACAATAGCTAACACAATAAGACGGCCTACTCAGATACATTTTGTTCATAATCTGTATTCTATAAATAAAACAATAAATCATTATTTTTGTAGTTTGAACTATAGGCACGAACAAAAATATTTACTTTATTTATTTAAGTTATAGCTTTTATAATTTAAAAAGAACTTTGTTCCGGAAAATATATTATACTCCGCAACAACAACTATCAACTATATTAGCATTATTACATGTTTAAATTGTATTTTTTTCAGAGAATACATAATAGATTATTTTCAATTATTTTCAAAATAAAATATGATAATAACGAATTTATTGCAAGGTCTTATCGGTGTTAGTATATTTGACTATAAAATATTGTTTATGCTTCCATCGTTCTGACATGTTTTTTTATTACGACTGTATAGTATATTATAGTGATAAAGAGAAAGAAAAACCTACAAACCATTTATTGTCAAAAGTAATGGATAAAAATTACTACTTGCTTTTCGCGATTTTTCTCTTCAGTTCCAATCCCACCCATCCCTATTTAATAACAAACAACGGGTGTTAAAGTTGTAACGATGACTGGAGAGTAGTCCCCATAACCAGAAATCGTTTTTCCCAAATGTTTTTCTTAAAGTTTAATGTGCGCTTTCGACATTTTCAAGTACAGAAAAACACTGACACGCAGTCATTATACTGTAAATGTGTGGGTATGCCTTCATAATCATCACGATTGCTGTTAATATCAACATAAAATCCGTTAATATAGTGTACAGAAGAAAAGTGAATAACCCAAAAATCACAAAATCAACATTTTTATAATAATATTATGCACATAAAAAATAATAAGTTTTTTCTTTTATTATAGGACTTTAACCTAAAATTATTATACCTCGATGCTTATCATTAAACAATAAGTTAAATATACTTAAAATTATATCAAAGTTATTATAGAAAATATTTAAATTGTTTCATTTTTGATGTACAATCAAAAAGGTAAGTAAGTAATTTACTAATTTAATATTCTTATGATTAAATTGTTTTTTTTCGGAATTAAACAGAATAAGTCTAATAATCCTTCCGTTTTAGACAATGTGTACTCCATATTGTATTTTCAGTTAATGTACAATTATTTAATTCTGATTCGGAAAACTGTAATTAAATGTTCAAGCATAATAAATTATATTAACTTAGGTCATTCTATTTTGTAGAAATTACTATCAAACCCTTAATATTAATCGTATTTTTTATTTTTAATAATAATAATATAAAATATAAATAACTATATAACTAGTACTGTATTACTTATAGATCAAATAACAATTATTCGTCGAATTTTCAACCATCAAAATGTACCATAATATTAAAATA